ATTAAAGATAATAATAAGCCTTATAATACTAAGAGCAAGAGTCCTAATAAGATTAAAGCACTTAAGGACCTTCTAAGGATCAGATAAGAGATGAACCCTGCTAATTCGCTAGATCTCAACTCTATTAAGATCATCTAGAGGATAATAAAGCAGCGCTTGAAGTCCAGGGGAGTCATCTTCGAAGAAGCTGTGCTGCGTCAAGCTATCCAAGAGGAGTGAGATAAAATAACTCTGGATGAGATTAATAGGGCTATCTCAACAATGCCAGATAGAGTAGCTGCCCTAAACGAGCGAAATGGGCGTCCTATCCCCTATTAAAGGGGCGTGTAGCATAGCAGGAATCTGAGAACTGCAAAGAATTTTGGCGCCAAGCTTCGGCCTGATGCTTCAGAGAAAAGCTTGTGTAAGGAGCCAGCTTGATGCCACAATATCCTGCACCGAATCTTGACCTCTCCAAATTCCATTTCCGCTTCGAGACCTGAGCGCACGTGGCTGTAGTCTGAGCGATGAATAAGCAGCCCTGAGCTGTGGCTGTACAAGGCCTTACAGCGTCTCCTGACTTCTCGGAGCATCCCGTCACAAACCGACTGGGCGCATTACTGTTGGATCAAGGCTTCGCACATATTCCGAGCCAATTTGCACTACCTCTCATCACCCCGATCTTCCTCATTACATTGACCAGTGATGGTAATGCAGAGATCACCAAGTTAGGAGGTTGAAGAAGTTTATAAAGAGCTAAGTTAGAGACAGGTTAGGCTTAATCTACGAGAGCATTAATAGCTTTAATATTATTATGTTAGACAAAGGCGATAGTAGTGGTCTTTGTTGAGTTAGTATTAGGTTTTCCTAGGTCAATGACCAGTTCGGACAGATGATGCTTGAATTAGAGCAGAGGAAGCCGGATTTACTGATGCAGAGCTTTCAGTAGGCTTGCCTAACAACTATAACGGTCTTTCAGTATGAGTGCTATTGTCGCTTCTAGCTTGAGCTCGATAGTGAGCCTTCTTACTGTATATACGTTAAGGAGTCTTCTTAGACTCGAATCAACATCTATAGCTCTGATTGAGCCTGACTCATCTTGCTGATCAATAATCATGAAAGCGTTGGGAATGCATGACTATATTTTGTATTTTCCATTTCGGCAACTATCCAGATATACTATGTAAGAGAAGAGCTTGCGCTTTATGCGTCCCAGCCAAGGTGCGTAAATTCCTTCTACCGAGTTCCGTAAGCAAAATGTTATTTGTCCTTCAAACCTTACGTTGGCAAATGCAATAAATTGCTGGCAATGCGTCAAGTCAGCGGCGAATGCACTTGGACTTTGTCGACGGCTTCAATGTCTGTTGGAACTCAATGATCCATCTAGGCTCTAGAGATCCGTTACCTGCCGTGCGAAGCTGGCGATGCGTTACTGATATTTTGGTTAAGTAGAAACTCATACGGCATTGCGGAGTCATGCATCAAGAGTCATCAATATCCGCTAATTGGGATGACATAAAGCTAGCTGTCCTTTCACTAGCGTAGTATTAGTGGGTGGTGCGCATGGAGTGGTGGTCAGAGGGGGGATAGCTAGAGCCTAGCTAGTCAGACCTGTGAGCCACGGGCGAAAAAGCCTAAACGAAGGCCTGAAAGATGGCCAGAATAAGGGATGTTTAACGGCACCCTAGGGGCTCTATCCTTGCAATATTCTATCAATATAGCGCTAAACGTCAGTTAGTGCACCCCAGTGGTGCTCTAAATATTAACGCATATTGATGGCTTTTGATACACGACTCCGTACATACCCCGAGATTATAGCTTCAGTGGAGACGTAGTCCATCCCTTCTCTCAGTATCCACACTATTCCTGAATATGAAACGTCTCCTGCTCCTCTCGCTCTCCCCCGTCGTTCTCCTTGCCACAGGCAACAAGCTCCCAACCCAACTTGTTTCCATACTCCCGCCCACGCTTCTTGCGACCGTCGACGCCTGCTCCATCTTCAGAACCCCAACTGCCCTTCCGGCATCATCAATCTGAGGTGGCTGCCTTTCTCTACCCAATCTCTTCCGCCGCAACCGTCTGATCGCCTCCCGGTAGAGGTCTCCAATATCGTCCAGCGACAACGCGATGAGCACGAGCGGAATCGAGATTGCGAAGCCAATGCCAAACATATACTGCGCGACATATGAGAGATGGAGTCTCTGCGAGCCGTCTACGTTTCGTGGGAACTCTTGAATGTCGATAGCAAAGAATGCGGCTATGAAGGACAGGGGCAGGAAAATGATGGTCACAATGGTGAAGACCATGATCGTCTGGCCTTGACGCGCTGTGCCGGCAGCTTGATCCCTGGCGAAGCGCGCTTCGAAAGCGTTCGCATGCTTCTGTTTAAGATCAAGGAGGTCGGTGATGGAATCATAGATGCGCTCAGCTTGCCTGTCCATGCGGTCAAGATCTTTGATGTGCACGTCAACGATCTTTTGCTGATCTTTGATATGCTTCTTGATTTCTTGGTGCGAGCGGTGCTCCTCTTTAAAGATGTCAAAGATGGCTTCTTGGAGGTCGGGAAGGACTTGAAGTTGGTACTGGAGCACCATGCGGATCATGTTGAGCTCGTCGCGGATGTCCTTGATCTCGGTAAGAAGTTTGATTTCCTGGCCGATGTCAAGGAGTTTGTCAACGAAGAGGGGTCGACGGTTATGGTCTTCAAATTTGAATTTATCTTCTTTCTCGGCTGAGGACCCGAGGTTGCGGGAGAAGCGGTTTGGTCTGCGGTGGTGCTTCAGCCATTCAGACGCTTGGACGGAAGCATCATTGAATTCATTGAACAGTGTTGTTTCACGGTCGGTGGCGCTGCCTATAGAAGATTCAAACATATCGAGGAACTGATAGTCTGCATCGCCCATCCTGTGGCGGTCGAAGGCGCCGCAACATCGGCCGGTAATAATCATGGCCAGGTCGTAGACAGACTTCACTGGCTCTCTAGTCTTTGAGTTTATATCCTCAATTATGTTATCGAGAACATTAAGAGGATCGTTCTTGGGTTGTTGCCATCGTTGCGGAAAGCTCGTAACGATCAGGTCTTTACCCAATGTCCACATCCACAATTGATCCACCATGAAGACCTTGGGATCTATCCTGGGATACTCTTGGTCCCTGCCTTTGGTCTGATAGCGATACACCACCTGATCACAGTCTCGACTTTGTGTGTCGATGTTGTGGTAAAAGAACTGGTCTAGGGTCCGACGAACATGCAAAGAGGTGTTCGAAGCGCTCAGGTGAGCTCGGAGAAGCATTTCGTCGTAGGTTCGAGCCTTTGTGAGCGCTGGACGAGCTTTCAGGGTTTCCGCATGTCTGATGGCCTCTTGCATTTCTTGTCGTCGCGTGTCGGTCTCAAAATGCAGGTAGGGCATAAAAGTGTAAATGTTGCTTTTCGCAAAATGCATAAAATCTTTTCTCGATGGTGATCCTGGTGATCTGCGTGATCTTACAATAGAGTTCGCCAATTGAAGACTGGATTTGCGACCCTGTTCACTCTTTGGTGCATCTGTACCGCGCTTAACCCTCCTCTTGCCTTTCGTCTCATTATGTGAGCCAGTCGCGTGGTTCTTTAAACCAATATGTGCCGCGCAGTTTGACTGATCGCTACCACTCTTCGAAATCCTGACTGGAGTCTCGGGGACCTTGTCTTCTTTCGTCGCACCATTAACGACGACAGAGGGTGTCATCTGCTCTGTTTCATCGTCCTCGTCCTGCCGCGGCGCCCGTGGAGTGCTCTGAGATAGTGGTCTCATAAAGTGTGAGTGAGTACGCTGTCCTCGGTGCTGGTGGCTGAAAGATTTTTCGAGGGCTTTGAAGCCTTCTACGTCGCCCGCGCCTTCCTCGATGAAGATTTTGGTGAGTAGTGCTTCGACCCAAACCATATTATTCGCAGGAAGATGGATCCATCGAAATCTAGTAGCCTTCACGTTAAAGGGAAGGGTGCTGATTGCGTGTTTATTCGAATCCTTTGGGTCGCGCCCGTATAGCAACTCGTATACAGTCCTTCTTTTTACTTGGTTTTCGTTGTGATAATTGCCGAAGTCGACAATGGTTGCATCAAACCCATTGCATGCGCCCAATGCGTCCTCTGACAGGGCTTCGACGTGGTTGTATGGGGCAAGCAGCTGGACAATATCTTTGCGCCTGAATTGAGCTGCTCTTAATAGAGGCGTACTTCCAAAAGTATCCCTGGTGGTCAGGTTCACGTCCTTGCATTCGAGGAGGCACTTAACAACATCAGCATGGCCTCCCTGAGCAGCTAAATGTAGCGCGGTCATCCCATTGAGAAGCTTAGAATTGATCTCTGCGCCAGCCTGTAGTAGCATTCGGACGATCTTTTCAGATCCCTTCTCGCATGCATTATGAAGCGGAGTCCACCCGCCGTCGCTCCTTGCATTGACGTCCGCATGGTAGGTAAGAAGGAGTTCTACCAGATCATCCCTGTCATGGGCGGCTGCAATATGTAGTGAAGTCTTCGATCTTATCTCAGTGGCATTGACATTTGCCCCAGGATGTCGAGGCCTGCTAAGAAGTTTCTCTGCAAAGCGCTTCTTCCCTGTCGCACAAGCCCAGTGTAAAGGAGAGCGGCCAAGGTTATCTTGTGCTTCCCGACCATCGATACAGATATCGAGTTTTAGAAGAAGGCCAAGCACGTCTTCTCCCCAATCGCATTGCTTGTCAGCGGCGAGATTGTGTAAAATATTCCTCTTCTTCAAATCTTTTGCATGGACATTTGCTCCTCTGGAAAGAAGGAGCTGAAGGATGTGCCAGTGATTTTTCCAAGCGGCGGTCATCAGGGCCGTTCTGCCCTTCTTGTCGGCGGTCTCAGTGGAAGCTCCATGATCAAGCAAAAGCTGCACGATTCCGACATGATTATGTTCAACTGCGCGAAGCAAAGGAGATAACCTGTTAGCTGCTACGACGTCTGTTTTTGCGCCCTCCCTTAAGAGATACTGTGTTGCGGCAATCCGACCCTTTTCCGCGCTTCGCATAAGTCCAATCCTCAAAAAATTCTCGCTCATTTGGCCATTGCTCCTAGCTTCCTGGATGATAGCTTCCAGACCCTTAGTGTCATTGTTTTCGGCTGCTCTAAGCAGCTTTGGTTCCAAGCGCTGATTATTGTCGCTTGCTACGCTCGACCTCGACCTCGACATTGTGGAAAAGCGGTTCCTCTGCTGATTTTCTGTTCAATCCTCGAATTCGTCCACGCTACAAGACGATTGCCCGCGAAAGATCACAGGGCGGCAGATCTAGGCAATAACGCAAATCTTTACCTTCAGGCGACGACATAGTAGGCCGATCGAAAGAAAAGCAATTAGCTACACGTTGTGGTTCAGAAATCCCGCTTGTCGTGATCGCAAATAATAATACTCATAAGATTGATCGTGGCAAATCTCGGCAGCTGAAAGTGCCGCCCGGGATTCGGGCGAGTCCTACACCGCAAACAATAGCGTGCACCTCTTTAGCCCAGTGAAATCATGAGGCCATCTGCACTTCCAGTCGTTGCCAAGAGGATAATAGAATAGGCAATAGTAAGGCTCGCCTGGAGACTTATCAATAGATGCTCAAATGAGTTAAAATTTCAAACATATAAATTATTATATTATGCTTTTCTTTAATAACTCAACACAATGATAAATTTCCACTAGAATAATGTTACAGCACGTGAACACACTAAGCACCGACAGGCCTTGTTGGCTGCACGGGCCCTGTGTGAGGAGACCCTGGAACTACCCAAGCCCGAGGGGCTTGGCGGAAGGACACGCTCATGCGGAGACAACCCTGAGCAAGGTGTTCAAGAGGGGGAACCGATGAGCAATGCTCAGAAGTGATCATGTCTGATCACTCATGAGCACGAATCTCCTAGTCTATATAAGCACGCCCAATCCCAGATAGTTTCATAGTCTTCGTAGTCAACTCATGTTATCAGCTCTTACCTAGAAGTTGAAGACATCTTGTGATCTACTTATACACCCCCTGTTCTACAACCTCAACCCTTTGGACCGAAGCTTGGCGCCAAAATTCATTGCAGTTCTCAGATTCCTGCTATGCTACATGGCTATTTAATAGGGGATAGGGCGCCCATTTCGCTTATTTAGGGTAGCTACTCTATCTGGCATTATTAAGATAGCCCTATTAATCTTCTTAATAGTTATTTTATCTCACTCCTCTTAGATAGCTTAACGCAGTATAGCTTCTTCGAAGATAACCCCTCTGGACTTTAAGCGCTACTTTATTATCCTCTAGATGGTCTTAATAAGATTAAGATCTAGCGAATTAACAAGGTTTATCTCTTATCTAATCCCTAGAAGATCCTTAAGTACTTTAATCTTATTAGGACCCTTACTCTTAATATTATAAGGCCTATTATTATCTTTAACTAAAATATAATCCTTATTTTATTTAAAAGTAATAATTTATTTAAGAATAATTATATAGTTAGCTTAAATAAGTTATCTTTTTAAATTAAAATTAATATAAAAGTAAAGCTAAATTTTTTTTTTAATAATATTATATATATATAT